GGGCATTTAAACCTCAGTCTTCTTCTCTAGTTGAAAAAATTCCCAAAGCACTAAGTGACTCAAGGTGAAATCTTAGGTCTCTAAGTTATAGTTCTTGTCAAGATACAGACAGGGCAGTTCTTCACTGTCTTATTATCTCTTTCCTGAGATAAGAATGAAAAGAAAAGTCTTTCATATATTATTTTAAGAATATTATTTGTATTTATTCCAGGTTTGTTTGTTGTTTGTTTGTTGCTGTGTTACTTCTTCAGTGGAAGAGTTAGTCCAATCCATTGCTATCAAAGGAACATTTCTAGATCTCTTTTTAAATTTCTTTTGTTTTATTTTTGCAACACACATTCTGATAAGCATATAATAGTATACAGATAAGCAATTCTAGACATTTGATCACAGTAAATTAGTATACATCTTGACATGTCTAAATTAGGTAAAAATTAATATTTATTTTGAAATCACTTATTTCTTGACAAAAGATACCATCAGAATTTTCACATTAGTTAAGGTGTGTGTCATTGACTAAGTGTAGTTTTGTTATGAGAATAATCAATAATTCCACTTGGGATTTCCATCTTTTTTGTGTGTATGATACATTTCTGACTTAAGTATTTTATCTGTTTTTAATTAGTAGCTACTTTTAATGGAGTAGAGAAGGGAAAAATACATGTAATTTGAAAATTTTATTGATAAAATTTCTTCTATATTTCATTCCTATAATAATAGTTATGTGTAATTAGGGCAATAAGATTAAAACTAGTATTCAAATATTCAACATAAATAGGTACTTAGGAATTTCAAAAGAAAAGAATCTTGTTTATGATAAATTAAATTTTTCTGATGATTTTAAATTAATTTATTTTAATCAAATTACTACAATCATCTTGTTTTTAATCGGTGTTTCACAAATATTCATATTATTTTATTCCTTTTTTTTTTTTAAGATTTTGTTTATTTGACAGACAGAGATCACAAGTAGGCAGAGAGGCAGACAGAGAGGAAGGGAAGCAGGCTCCCTGCTGAGCAGAGAGCCCGATATGGGGCTCAATCCCAGGACCCTGGAATCATGACCCGAGGCGAAGGCAGAGGCTTTAACCCACTGAGCCACCCAGGCGCCCCTATTTTATTCCTTTTTTGTACTTTTTTAGAACACATACTACTTACACCCATGTTCCTATTACTATTTCTATCACCTAGTTGCTATTAGAATAATGCTTCATAAATACTTACCTGCTGTGGTTGAAGTTGGACTCAACTGTATTTGTCTCTCTAGCTTTGGATTCTGCTAGAAGAGACTAAACAATTTTCATTTCTTTGAAAGCAATCTCTTAATATTCCTCTAAGGCAAGTTGTGAAAATGAAAAAAGTGCAGAATGTGTTCCACTCTTTTATTTGCCTCTTCTCTTTCCCAAGTAATCAAAAGAAAAAGCTGATCTAGAGATGGCATTAGTAGTCTTCATAACATGAGATTAGATGAAACACCACAGCTAGAGCTCTGATTTATTTCCTTGGATACTGAAAGGTCGTCCAATAGGACACAAAGCTCATAGGTCAAAAGAAGTACTGAAGTGTTTCAAAAAACTTAGTACCATCTGTTATACCTGGCCTATGTATTTTAATGCTTTTATCTTTGTTCAAGACATCAACTAACTCTTGATATCATGCAATACATGATTTTACTTAAAGAAGACTTTTCATATGTGCGTTATCATTGGACCTGAAAGGATGGAAGAGGGTTCTAAAATGGTAGATCTTATTTTCTGCAAAGCAGTTGTCTGTACATAACTAGCACAAGATGTAGATAGAATGTTATAGAATGAAATATGCTATCATTAATGTATATCCATGAAAATATAGATTAATATTAATTAATAAGAAATTAAATTTTCAATATTTTTCCTGGAAACTCATTTCTAAAGTGATAACTGTGAACACTAAATATACACAAACACTCAGAGACAACCAACCTATACTAATATCACTTAAAATAAATCTTAAGTTGGCTTATGAATTGATTTGTAGATTTTATTTTAGGTTGTTAATGTGTTTCTAGACATAATCACCATTTTGTTATAAAATAGAAATCTGATAAGTTTTATGTGTACTTTCTCCATCATTAAAGCATGTTTGATGAAAGTTAGAATATAAGAATAAAAGTGTTTAATATTAGTGAATGTGTGTGCTTAAATCTTTCCTTGTTAATAACTATCAGAAAGACTAGTAAAGATAAGCATGACAATTTTGTAGGTAAAAGACATCTTGCTGCTGCATTTACTTAAGGAATAAAGCTCTTAATTTTGACAAGTAGCTAGTGAACATAATTGGCTTTGTGCATGTAGTCCTATATGATATGTCAGGGAAGAAGAGAAATATATATGTAGCATGAAATATGTAGGAAAAAATTTTGGAGTTTTCAAAATACCCATAATTATCTAAGAATACATATTACTGAGGTAGTTTTTTAAATAATTTCAAAATGTAATCTCCAAATTGAAGAAAAACTTTTTTGCTGTGCAAGTTAATATGCCCTGGGTGAACAGTAATTCTTATTTCTCATTATGTATCTTCTCAAAAAATTACATTTTAGAAAGATGTCTCACATTGTTATGCCAAATCTCCACATTTACTCTAACATGTTCATATTATCTAATTAGCATTGTTAGTGTATAACTACTAAGAGCCCAACTAATTTCAATGGCCTGAGATCTAATACCAGATACAGGAGGTTGGTAAAGAGATTCCAAGGTGACTTAGTAGCAATTGTATTTCTAAATGTCAGAATAGTCAATGCTAACATGCTGATTTTAGAACCAGATGTCACATTATTTCTTACATGATTTTATGATAATCCAGAAGTTGGAATTCAGAAATGTTAATAGAAAATTATTAATCATCCTTATAATAGTCTACATGATGTTATTACTTTTGTAATTCTCCCTTTTTCTATAGGCTTGTAATATTAAAATAAAAAAGACCTAGGGACACCTTGGTGGCTCAGTTGGTTGGTTAAGCATCCAACTCTTGACTTTAGCTCAAGTCTCGATCTCAGGGTTATGTGATTGAACCCCACGTTGGGGTCCATCCTTATCATGGAGTCTGCTTGAGATTCTCTCTCTCCCTCTCCCTCTGCCCCTACCTCCCTCATTCTCTCTCTCAAATAAATAAATACAATCTTAGAAAAAAAAAAAGACCTAAAGAAACACTGTGTCTGCAAATTTCAAATATTTTCTATGCCTAATTGGCCAAATATATTTTAGTGGTTTTATAGAAAGAAAGGAAAAGAAAGAAAGAGTATGAGTACTAAAGAAAAGAAGATTAAGCATATTGCTTAAGTTCTTTTGGCTCAAGAAACATTGAAATAAAATATGAATATTGATAAATATCATTAGGGAACATTAGGGTGTCAATACAAATGACTGAGCAAGGTCTTTGTTACCCATTTGTATCATTTCTATAAGTGATATCAGGACAAAAAGAATCAACTTGGCCTGAGTCTCGCTCATAGGGTTTTTCAGTTTCAAAGGCAAGCCCGTCCACCTCTTTAACAATACAAAACCCTGCTCCTTAAGTCTTTAAGACTTTTAGATTTAGGCACTAGATCTTATACAAGGAGTAAAAGTCAGTTTAGTTCATTTATATTCATCAGCTAATGGTGTGGAAGACAGGGCTCATGACAACAGAGATCATTTAATGTTAATGCTTACCATGTGGTTGTGGGGGGATTGTATATTCAATCTTTCAATACAAAAATGTATGCTATTTTTGACTTGACAACTTATGATGGTAACAAAAAATAAAGTAACTGTTTATTGAATAGTTACATTCTATAAAATGTATTTGATTGGCATTTATCTTTCTTCTCAAGAGGACATAGGATTCAGAAAGAGAGAGAAAGAAGATAGAAATGTGAAAGGAAAGGAGAGGGGTTTTGGGGGGCAGAGCACAGCAAAGATTGCAACTGATACATATCTATTGCAAATTAAAAGCCACCGCTTTCCTGTACTCAATGCCCCCATGAAACATATCATCAATCACAGCAAACAGAAGACAATCATTGTCTCCCCCCCACCACCAACATGGAAAGTTCATTACAGAATATTAATTTGTGATATTTTAACCTGGCTAAAACTGAGCAAAGTCAGAATGCAAAACTCAGGGTAGAAAAGTTAGTGTCTGTGAATGTCAGCTGATGAGACATGGGTGAAAACTTGTAGGATTATCCAGTCATCTCTCATGAAAATGCACGATGACAGACATGTTAATTCCCATAATTGGTAAAGATTGTCTGAAAACAGAAAAGGAAAGCCAGATCCAGATTTCATATTATATTTCCTGGTTTGGCATAATTATTAGGAGAAATGTGTTGAATAGTTAAAAATATTATACTTGACTTTAAAATTTAAGGATTAGGAAGCAACGGTACTGTACCAACACTGACTGTTAAAGGCAGCTGACAGAATTTCACTTAATTGCTGTTTGGTTGGTGAACTTCAGTTTTTCCTTCGTCAACTTCCCAAATAAATCTTATCCCTTTAGAGTAAATTTATGTTTCTCAGCATAATGATGCATTTTACCCAGTCAGCTATGCTAGTGTTCTCTGAAGCCAGCCAGCAATGATATCACTTCACCTACAATATAAATCTATCAGTGAATAAACAACATCATTTTTATTTCAATGCCGATGTCACACTACATGTCGATTTGGCAGTTAAATAATTTATCTCTCTTTTGGGTGCAATCTGCCAGGCTTATTATAACTCTACTTCTGATATTCATTTTATGTTTAATAGTTCTTTGCCTCATGAGGATGCTTGTCAATCAATTAAATTGAAATGTCATTCTGACCTTTTATTGGAAACAATTTATTCCTTTTTTTCATTTCTTCACAAGCTTTTTTCCATTTTATTCAAACTAAAAGCCTTAATTACTAGTATTCAGAAACTTTGTACTATTTAACCTTATAAAACTACATGCTCATCAACATTACTGACACTTTATCTTTACAGAGGTTATCCAGTTGAGTCTGCCTGAGGATCAGAAACTAAGCATTACAGCGACAACTGTGGGACAGAGTGCTGTTTTGAGCTGTGCCATTCAGGGGGCACTGAGACCCCCCATCATCTGGAAGAGGAACAATATTATTCTAAATAATTTAGATTTGGAAGACATCAATGTGAGTACTAAATAGATGTTGCTTTATAATTTGCGTATTTCACGCGCTATACTCCAGACTTTGTGAAGTCTGAAGAGCTTAATGAATATTGGACGTAGAGTAGAAGAGGGTTATTGGAACACTTCCATTTCCACACTACTGACTGGGAGGTGCACCACAGATCATTTGAAATTACCCAAATCATGTGAGTAGATGTGGTAAGCAGGTTATGGAGCACTGTATTAGAGAGATCATATCAACTTAAACCAATTCTGTCTGATAGTCAGAATTTCTACAGTTATCAACAATTAATCTTTTTGTATTTGCCATTATGGTTGGGAAATAGCCTAAAGCTTGTGAGGTGTTATATTGGGTAAGGGCAGTTTTTGCTTCAGATACTTCATAGTGTATTAGAAATAATAAACATTAATCAAGCAATAAATGGTTTATTTTCTAGAATAAAATTGTATAAATTTCTCCACTGAGGTTCACACCTAGAGACTCAGAATCTTAAACTCAATTTGAAAGGGTACAGCTTTGAAAATGAAACAGAAACAGGGTATTCATCTGTTCCTTCCATGCTATGTGTTCCAAGTGAGGGTTAAAAAGTATACATCATCCTAGATGATGAAAAGAAGTAAAAATTGTGTGTTATGGGATGCCCATGGAAATGACATAGGGCAATCCTTTGTCTTAGTGATTTTGGGATTTTATGATGCATGTAAATTTTAGTTAGTTATTTTTTTATTATTGCTCAAGAAAACCATCACCTATTTGCTCATTCTTTGTTGCTTCATACAGAACTTCCAAACCACAGGTCCAAGAGTCACTCCTATGTGTTCTATCTTACTAAATATTCTTGTTTAATGTCCTCAAATGATTCAAAACAGAAGATTTCCAACTGTAATTTTTTATTTAATATTTTTTTCCTAAATTCGTTTATATCTGTGGAATTTCTTCAGAAATTATATGAAGATTAATACTTAATTCCTATGATACTAAGAACACTGTGCATCAGAATAGCTATAATCTCAGCAGTATTCAACAATCTTTGAGAGACATTCTTAATATTCGTTCTGTGATTTTTGTTTCCTTTACATCTGTCTAACCTGTTAGTAATTGTACCTCACACTGAGAAGAGGCCAGGGAAAACAGTAGATTAAATTCAAAGGAGTCTATTCTTTCATAAAATGTACTTTCCATAGCTCACGTGATTGCTTCATGAAGCATCTGGATCTCAATCTTCTATTTTCTTTTCTGGTATTCTAAGAGGATAGCTTTTATCTTTAAGGTCATCTCAGGATCAAGCGGGCTGTTGGAGCTCCAGCCACCAATCTATATTCCGTCATTCTACAGTCTGTGTCCACAGCAGTACAAAGCAGGTAGAAGATAAAAGAATTTATTCCTGGAAGTCCTGAAATTGTTTATGGGTCACTGATGAGCAATAACTGTAATAATTGTACTAGGGAGACTGGTAAATACCACTGTTTAGCTAGATGTACTGCCTAGCCTTCAGTTATAAAGGTGGAACAGGACATCAATTTCTATTTCTCTATCCATGGCCATCTAAGAGGATAGAAGATGTTCTGCTTTTGTCTTTATAGTCTGTTTTTTTGTTTGTTTGTTTGTTTTTCAGCATTGATTAAATATGATTATCCATCTAAATTCAAATCTGAGCAGTTCTGCACACCACTTCTGCTCCTTTGGTAGTTTCATCAGTCCTCAACTAATTTCTTTGATTGTGTATTTAGTGCTAATAGGCCGCTCCTTAAATATTCTACTGTTTTATTTATTTATTTATTTATTTTGATTATTTGGTCTGATTTTTTTTTGCTCATTCTTTTTAAAAAAATATTTAAATTCAATCAATTAACATATAGTGTATTATTAGTTTCAGAGGTAGAGTTCAGTGGTTCATCAGTTTTTCTGATCATTTTTAAGATAGTTCTATCCCTGTTGCCTATTTGAAGCAATTCTCACCATGTACAGCTAACATCCATTTAAAGCAAAGTGTCCTCTTGAAACATGGTAAGTCACTCACAGGCAATAAATCACTTGAAATAATCACTTTAATTCAAATCAGAATCCAATTGTAGGTGTAGCAGTTTGCACATTAGTTTTTGTTTGTTTGTTTTTTGTTTGTTTTTTTCAATGCTTGATTTCCTAGTATGTATGTAGCTGGCAAACTAGCACTGAGAGATAGCATATCACAGCATAATCAATAAATTTTATCAAAATTAAAATGTTAATAAAATTTTTATTATTAGTTTTATTTTAATATGTCTGGATTTTTAAAGTAATTAAATGCTTAATATAAACTACTATACCTTATTCTGCTTAAAAAAATGTTTCAGAATAAGTACTGAACTTCAAATTTAAAAATCAAATCCCCAAGTCATACTTCATTCCCAAAGACTGAAAATGATTTTAGTAGTAGAGATATCTGACTCTGTTACTCAGTTTTAATACAGTAGTGTGAGGATATAACTTTTTCCCTTAAATCTATGAATTTTAAAGTTCTCATATATACAAAAGATTTTTACCCTTTAGGCTATTCATTGATAACAGAACCCAAATTACATGCCACCAATAAAAACAATTCAGTTAGCAAGATTTCATTTCAACTTTTTAGAAACCTATAGTGTTCTATTTTAACATGGAACATATTAGAGTATAACATCAACACCAGTTATTAAAAAGGAAGTTATCGACTTTTTTCTTCTCTAGACTATAAACAATCCATTTCTTTTTTCCCCTTAACTAAAAATGTAGACATTTAATGTTTGTAATATAATACATCATTCACCATGTAATTTTTATCACTAATTTATTTTTAATATAAGCCGGAGGCCATTGTTGACTCTTAAAATCCAAGGGGAATTTGAGAATATTTATGATTCAAAATCTTCTAAGCCAAAGAAAGCAAGGAGCATTGGCAAGGCTAAAGATGTTGGATTTCTTCCAGAAATATCAAACATCCAACATGCATTCATTTTCCACCTATAACCTATATAGCTGTTAAATTGGTGAATTTGCACGTGATCGTAAACATTGCCTAATAGCTGCTGCTTGAATATTATTTTGGAAAGAAGGTTTCCAGGAACTTGATGGGGCTACTTATTGTTGAGGAAACATCATTTATTACTGTCTAGTAAAACCATGGTCATGAGACCCTTCAGATGTATATTAGTAGGGTCATATGTTTGAAGGATGATTGCCAACATGTATCTTTGGAGTAAAGAAAGTTAAAAAAAATAAAGGAAGTTTCCAAAGGAATTTTTATATGTTAGATTTATAGGATCCTGGGGGTTGGGCTAGGATTGTCTTTTGCTCTTAGCAAAGTATTAAAATCGAGGCAGCTAAGTTCCTAGAGGAATGTCACCCTGCCTGTTTCAAGGACATGTCAGTGGGCTGTAAGTAGTAAGGAAATGTAATTCTTCTTTCTCCTTTGTTTCCCAAATCAAAATCCAGACCAATTATCTTCATCCCCAAACCTGCAACATTTGCAGTGTTTCCTATTCCATTTCAATGTAGCCAGAAAACTGAGTTCTGGTCAAGTTCTTTCTCAGTTTGTCCCTCAGATCTAATCTACAAAACCTTGTGAATTTAACTTTTTAATTTATCTTAAATCTCTTCTGTCATCTCATTTCCACCATGGCTGCCTTAGTTTAAGCCCTTACCATGTCTCACCTTCGAACTTGATCCTTTCCTACTGAGACTGCCCCTCCAGTTTAAATCTGCACTTCCTATTACAGGCAGAAGGAGCCTCATAAAATTTATATTTGGTCACTGTGCATTCCTCTTTAAAATCCTCTAATGGCTGCTTGTAGCTTTCATGAAAAAAAGAAGTTTCAAATTATTTAGCTTATTCTTGAAAGCCTGTTTCTTTATTAATTATTGGTACTATTCATACATATTCATTCTTTCCTACAACCCCTCCAAACACTAGCTGTTTTCTGACTATTAAGTTGTGTTATTATTACCATTCTCAAACACATTCTTCTCTCTACTGGAAGACCTTCCCTTGTCTTTTTTAATTAATCTAAGTCCAGTGCATTCTTTACAAATAGATAAATGCTTCTTATGCCTAAATTCTTTTTTTTTTTAAACTTCTTTGTCTCACAATTACCATACTTGTTGCTTCATAATAGAGCTATTAACATCCTTGCTGTTCTTCTCAAGAAACTCTGAGCTCAGGGACATTTACATATTCAGCTTTGGGTTATGATGTTATAGCCCTGTACTGACACCTAGGAGATAATAAAATTTAAATGTGCAAATAAAAAATGACATAGTGAAATTTCTAATATTCACAATTATTCATTGTTGAGTTTATTTGTAGACTTTTTATATTCAACATCTTGTTAGAGATTTTATTTACTTACTATAGCCACATGCAGGATTATCAATCAACTGATATTTATTGGCCATCATTTAAGCCTAACACAGCTCAACAATATCTGGATTCCATTTCTTTAATAACAGTTCTCATTAAGCATATTGATTTTTTACTACGGTTTCAATTTAATCTCAAATGATATGCAATAAGGGGGGAAGAAAAAGATGAGAGGCAACACATATTTGGTCATTGTTAATTCTTCATGGATTAAACAAATATTGCTTTAACTAGTACACTTTTCCAGACACTCAGTTAAATGCTGAGGGTAGGGATGCCTGGGTGGCTCAATTGGTTAAGCAGCTGCCTTCGGCTCAGGTCATGATCCCAGCGTCCTGGGATCGAGTCCCACATTGGGCTCCTTGCTCGTCAGGGAACCTGCTTCTCCCTCTGCCTCTGCCTGCCATTCTGTCTGCCTGTGCTCGCTCTCTCCCTCTCTCTCTCTGACAAATAAATAAATAAAATCTTTAAAAAAAATAAATAAAATAAAAAAATAAATGCTGAGGGTATACCTATAAGAGACATCTTTCCAGGTTGAAAATCTCACAGATAGAAGGAATCAAAAAAGAACACAGCTGCATTATATTTAATAATGCAGTATGAAAGTTTCATAAATGCAGATCTT